ACGTATATGTCAAGAAATGTTAAGCAATTGAAAAGCACCCAATTTGGCGTCAGATTTTGTCATCAAGCTTTGTTAACAAAACCCAAGCATATTGCGGACGCAGATGGCATCGGATTTGCCGTCAAGTTTTGGTCATATTTGGTGTCAATTTGGTACCAAATTGTTTGCTGGGTAACGACAAAGCAGTCGCACGCAATGTTGGTGACATAATTCCACCAATTAACAAATGAATCGAGTTTCTTACCGACAAGTCCAGGCGATGCATCAGAGCTAATTTATCGAGCGCGTACTGGTCGAAAGATTCCTTGCCCGACACCCATTTACTCGCCTCAATTTTGCCCATTGCCTTATGGAAAGGAATCTCTCGATCAAATATACGTTCAATTTCCCGCCTCACGCTGATCCAAGATTCGATCACCAATCCCGGTTGGGTGTCGTACCATCGTCGTGCCGGACCCACAAGACAACTTGACACTGCTAAAAGCGTAGCACTGTCCGACGTTCCGTGGACTCTGGCCACATGGTCCACCCGTTGTATTCAAGCGCGGAAATTTTCAGAATCGGAACCTCCAAATTCCGGTATTTGAGAAGCTAACGCATTTACTGATACCGAAGGCATCAAAACTTATGCGTGACGAGACGGCAACACTAGGTAATCCCTCTGCGACAAACCCGATAACGAACTCGATCTGCCCGCCAACTGGTCCGCGCCCTTGCAGCCGTTATGGCTCCTGCACACAGGACAGCAGACGAAGCAGCAGCATGAGCAGTTTTTGAATCAACAACGACAAATTTTAAACGATTGGCACAGGTATTGACCACGACTCGACAGGTTCCGGCGAGTTCAGCGCAGACCGTAATAGCTCCTGCACACAAGACGCGGTAATGCTTGTCGCGCGGCGGAAGTTCGCGCGACAGCCAATCAATATGCTGCTTTCCGTAATAACTTCTTAGCTCTTAGAGCTAAGTCGTTGTGCACGACTCAATTGGAACAAAGTGTGTACTAATGTGTATGTATGTCGGATAGGGTTAGGATTATTTTTCAACATGCCCATACCTTGGTATTTTTTAATAATAAATAATAAGATCTAAATAATAAAAAAGATACTATTCACTTCACGTTGCAAATGCCAATTTCTTCTCAAGCCGCAATGCTTATTAATTTTAATTGTCACTAGAAAACACTAGTTACGCAGCCGACTACTAGTAGTTTTCGGATACCTGTGCCAATCGTTCAAAATTTTGTCGTTGTTGATTCAAAAACTGCTCATGCTGCTGCTTCGTCTGCTCCTTCAGACTATGCTGAAACAGCATTATTTGCTGCTGCACCCCCTCAGTTACCATAGTCAGCAGTTGTTGTAACGCCCTGGACGAAAATGTTTGTTCCTTTGCCTCTGTCCTCCGACTCGATCCCACACTCTTCGCGGCACTAGGAAGTCCTATTATACGTGTTGTATCGCAGTGACCTCCAATATATCCCACTTCTGAAAGGATGCAACCTCGGGAATAGAACAAAAGAATTGATGGCTCAACGGATTATTTAAATCTAAACGACAGGAATATCAAAAGATAATAAATTTCGGCAACTGTTCGAGATCATTGGCTAGACACGATGTATTTTAACAACAAAGAAATACAAAACTAGTACAATTATAATATCGACTATTTCGCTTCTTATTAATAATCTTTTATCGACAACGACTAATTTGAGAGAGCTTTTTGTTTAAGTCCTCCATGCCTACTTAAACCCTCGAAACTCTCCTTCCATCTTCTCCTTCCTTGCGGACTCGCTCGCCATCTATACACAGACTCCTCGTATGGTACTATATGCTTGTTGTCGTCATTTCCGTCTCTTAAGCTGGTGGCACATAGAAAAACTTAAGCAGTAAGACGTAAGCAGTAAGCGAATCAGCCAATCACAGTCGTTGATTCTTGGACCTAAGAAGAATCAATGACTGTGATTGGTCAATTTGCTTACTGCTTACGTTTTACTGCTTAAGTTTTTTTTGTGTGCCACTAGCCTTACATGGGGTGCGTTCAGATTCTTCACCCGGGTGCACTCTATTACTAGAAATACTATAGTATATGTCACATATACTATAGTACTTCTAGTAATAGAATACACCCAGATGTGGAATCTGAATGCAGCACTGTTCGAAAACATTTAGTGTGACTCGGTGTGCACTCGTATGAGATCGTCTGGAAACGGAGAGAGAGGCACACCGTGTACTACAAAACCACTCGATGAAGCTGGTGAATTACTAGTAACCTACGTTATATGGTCTGTTCTTTTCAGCTGCACTGCTGAATTAGTGCAATAAGTTAGAGTTAGAGAAAAGATGAAGCTGTAAAAAACAAACCAATAACCTTTTCGTTTTTGCGTTATTTTACGGTACAAAAACAGAAAACACCTCTAGTTTACACTAAAAATCACACTGGGTGCTTTCCAGTTGCGTACACTGTGTTACACAAAACCAGCTTATTGGTTGCATATTATCTTACAAAATATTTTAGATAATATGTAACCAATAAACTGGTTTTGTGTACAAGATGTGTTAAGCAATTAGAAAGCACTAGAGATGCCCGATTTTGAATCGATTCGATTCTTTCCTCAAAAATAGGCTTATTCATGTTGTTGCACTTTTCGCACTTTTCGTATTTAAAACTAGACAGAAGTATATTGGAATGTTTCGAAGAAGCAAAAACGAGACAACCAACTCGATTGTTTCTTCCAAGCGTCTGATTAAGCGTCCATCTCTTTTTAAAAACGAAAAGTATGAAACATGCATGCAGCACGAACAACTCTTTTCCCCTAAATTTGTTAGGGAAAGAATCGAATCGATTAAAAATCGGGCATCTCTAGAAAGCACCCACTGTAAAGCCCGTATCAGACTACGGATTAAGATTGAGATTGAAAATTGGCCAATCAGAGCAATGTTCACCAAATTTGAGCTTAGTAAATTTTGCTCTGATTGGCTAAATTTCAATTAAATCTCAATCCTAATCTATAGTCTCATACGGGCTTAAAGCGTTCGGAAACACTCAACACACGAATGCACACGGTATCCCCACTACTTTCCCACTGAAATCACGAAAACACACGAGAGATTGATGTTTCCGAACGCAGCCTAATAGAATAACTATCAATACAACTACACACGTACCAATGCACACTCATCCCAGTAAGCAAGTAATATTAAATTAACATTTAGAAACGTTGTCTTCATATTGTCTCAATGTTCCAAGCATTGCTTGAACATTTTTTAATAATATTGCATTTATATTTTTCACATATTGTGATGATTTTTCTGAATGTTTTAAAAACATTACAAAAAATATATTTTTAAATGTTATTTTAACATTTATTCGAGATCAATGCGACATCCTAAAGATATTTCTGTCGATTAAAATGTTATGACAACCTTATTTCAACATTATTGAAACTTCCAAATCGTGGTCAAAATATGTTCATAATGATGTTTGATACAATATTAAACACTACATATTTGATAATATTACAAGTTCTTTGATATTATTGCAGCAACGTTGTATTAATGATTTCTTGCTTTCTGGGACATATGGTTATATATAAATGCTTATACAGTTAAAAAAGCAATTTGTGTACTGTAGATAAAGGTTCGGTTAGAACCTTTAATAGCAACTTTCTAATGGCACTAGAAAAAAACTGTCCATTTTTTCACTTTTTGTTGAATATTTTTTATCAGCACCTCATAAACTACAAAATATCATAGTATTAATTCGATTAACGACTTTTTTCATATGATTAGTGCAGGGTCCTTTTTATTGGACATTTCTCCTTGGATTATCAAAAATGAGCTCTCCTGCACTGAACAGCCTTTCCACGTCTCGTGATATTTTTATGGCATGATTAACTTCAAGATAATTGAATTAAAAGTTAATAGTTACAGATAAAATGTAATTAAGTTAAAAGTTAAGAGTGTAAAAATGTAACCAAGTTAAAGCCATTTAACTTTTTAACTAGTTACCCAACCCTGGTTTTATGTTAATGTTCAGGAAAAATGTATATAATTAGAAAATATTAATAACCAAAATTACACTAAATGTTAAATTTATTATACTGATTATAAATTGTATACATTGTACCTAGCACAAATTAATTTTTTTTATCATAGATATAATAAAAGTAGACCAAACACCCCTTAAACTTTGGCAGTGAAGATCAAGTAGAAAGAGATAGATAAGATTAGATAGAAAAAGATAGAAGGGGAAGACTGTAATTTTTCTCTTTCTAAAAGTGCGATGAAAGAGACAAATTTAACTGTTCGTCTTTTGTTTTTTTTAATTAGGTCTCATTAGACCTGATTTTCAAACCTCGCACCTTATATTCGCCTAATGTTATTATTTTTGTTTTTCACTCAACAATAGAAACACTTGATTGAAGAAAAACAAAGTTACTAATTATATTATATACTATATCGTACATACATACGTTGAATCTTACAATATATCTCAAATAAAAATTACCTATATCATTGTACATTATATATATATATATATATATATATATATATATATATATATGTATATATATATATATATATTTTTTTTTTTCATATTTATTTACAACAATCAACAATTTACAAAATAATTAGTCTTATGTTCTTTCTAATATTATATTTTCTAGTATAAGATTAATATTTTGCTTGTTGTAAGAGATGTTTGTTTAATGTATTAATTTTCTATTGAACAGAGAATTTGTGTCTTAAAAATTGTTTTCTATTTAATGTATTTTATTTGAAAATTTTTCTTATGAAAAATAAATTTACTTTTTATTTTTGTTTTTGTATGCGTGCACTCACATGTGTACATATGGGTGGATATCTATTAAAATTATATATAAATTATTAAAACATCTGTACATATGTGTGTGTGTATATATATACATACACACACACACATGTATCCATATGCAATTATATTGGAAATATACTTTGAAATTAGTTTAAATAACAAACAAATTAAACAAATTCATATGATGTATAAAGTCAAATTGCATACATCAAATTATACATGTTTTTCTTAAGCGAATTTAAAAAGTCTATTTCTTGTCTTCTAATCTTCAACATTGTTTTAATTAAAATTATTCCTCTGTACTAAAGTTCTATGAGATTAACTTCTCTTGTTATTGTATTTAATATAGGTGATGACACAACTGATGTTGTAAATGAACGTACATGAGATCTAAAAGTAGAAGCAGGTTCCCAAGCTTCATCTCGTACAATACCTTGATTTCTAGGATACATTAGTAATGGATCTTTGCCAGTTTTTTTGCATAATCGTTCTTGAAGTGTAATTAATTGAGATCTCCAATATCCATAGCTTGCATGTTTAAGTGCAGTAATCCATTGTTCTACATAAGATTCTGATCGACCACTTAACACATGCCGTTTCTCGTGATCATCGTAGAATGAGATGCTAAGTGCAAATGCTCCTTCAGATGAAGTATCTATATTAATGTTATAATTCTCCAAAATAATAACACCAGCAGGTTGTCTTCTATCAATTTGTCCTAACTCATTGATGTTGAAATAAAATAACAAATTGTACTTCAACTTAAACCATTTTTCTTTAAATACTGGAAATAAAATATGAATTTTAATATTATATACATAAATGTATGTGATTTTGTTATATACACACAAAGACACACACACACATTATGTATGTATATATGTGTGTGTGTATACATATATATATATGTATATATATATATATATATATATATATATATATATATATATATATATACACACAATATATATATATATTTTTAATGTTTCTCAATTTATACGATAACTTTATGGAATATATGTATGCGTATTAAAAGTGGATAGTTCAAATAATAATGAAATATTTCTCTGATAAATATCGATGAATAGTATACAAACAACAAAAAAATCTATAATTCAAATAAATATGTTTAGTGACTAGTGACGAATAACAGGTTAAGTTGATTTATCGTGTTACGTAAAGGACGTTTATAATTACATCCATCTTCAACTTACCTGACTTATGGGCTCGCTTGTGATTTAGACGTCCTTCGAAGTCGGCAGGACCAAAACTCGCTTCTGCGATCTCTTTATCGTTAAATCTCATTCTGATCCAAAATCTGAATATACAATCATCGCATCAAACTGCTACTGCTACAATGTCATATATTACTTGTATTTGCACCTATAGTCATATTAATCGATTCAATTTTAAATAAGCTTACAGTTTACGTTAATCAACATAACGCATGTTCAAAGAAAAAATACATACTTACATTAATTGATAATTACAAACATTGCAATGATTCATGGATTGTAGTTTATAATGGTAAATATTTAAGGATATTAATTTTTCAATGTTAGTAAATAAATATAATTAATCTACTCGCGTTTTTATGTATAGAAGATCTTGAAAATTAAAATTTTTAATCAAAAAAGTTTCTAAATGAAGATATATTTGAGGTTAAGAAATCTGTCATAGTGAACTATAGAACAAAGAATATAAAAGGAATAATCCATTTGGAGCTATGAACGCTTCGAAACGCGCAATACTATAGGCCTGGTTTACATCGTGCATTTTGGTCTGTTCTTTTCAGCTGCACTGCTGAACTGGTGCAATGGTTAGACTATGAGTGCGTTCCGAGTTGCGCATGAAGCGCGCATTTCCTATAATATACGTAACATTAACTATAGATAAATGCGCGCATATGCGTAACACGGAACGCGGCCTACATTTTCCCGAAAAGTGGAGGAGATAGTATTGGTACGAACGAAAACCTCTAGACGATATAATTTTAATTTCTGTACATTAGTAACACTATTTAAGTAGTGAGTCTGTTAGTTTGTAAAACCTTTTATGCCCAATTTCTTCAACTCCGGTTAACTTTAACGGGAGCGTCCAGATGCGCATATTGACAACGGACACAGCCAACCACAACGCCGTATGCCTAGAGATATTCTAGAGACTATAAACAACGACATATGATGGGATGTGTCTGTTTGTCAATGTGCGCATCTGGGACTCACTCACTAGAGATGCCCGATTCTTAATCGATTCGATTCTTTCCCTAACAAATTTAGGGAAAAAGAGTTGTTCGTACTGCTTGCATGTTTCATATTTTTCGCTTTTAAGAAGAGATGGACGCCTAATCAGACGCTTGGAAGAAACAATCAAGTTGGTTGCCTCACTTTTGCTTCTTCCAAACATTCCAATATACTTTTGTCTAGCTTTAAATATAAAAAGTGCGAAGAATGCAAACAACACGAATAAGCTTATTTTTGGGGAAAGAATCGAATCAATTCAGAATCGGGCATCTCTATCACTCCCTTTATCTGTCGAATAAATGTTAACCGTGATTGGTTAATCTTGCCAGCCATAAATATGATTGGTCAATTCCAATAGAATAACTGGCAGATAAAGTTAATCGGAGATGAAGAAATTAGGCATTAGACAGATATGGGAAAGTGTAAACAGTAAATATCGAAGAATTGTAATTCTTCATAAATATTAATATAAAATACATAATGAGGCAT